TTATTATTATTATATAAATCTTGCAGTTATGCTTTAATCGTGCACTGAGGGATACTAAAAAAATTGACTAGCCTCTCAAGCTGGTGCTTGTTATTTATTAAATAGCTACTTTAAAAACTGTAGGCTTATAGGTCTCGATAAAGATGTAAAGACCTCTGAGGGTCTTCTAGGAATGCACAAATATATGAACAGATATCATCCTTTGGCTAACAATAATTCAGTGAAAAAGTTGTAGTTGAGAGCGTAGTAAAAAGCGTGAAAAACATATTTTTAATGTAAAGGGTCACTAAGTAACCGGTCTGTCTGTCAATCAAGTCCCTTTATCTTACGTGGTGTCAAGTTCTGATTCTGCTGTAAAAATAATCAAGTTTAGGTCATCTTAATTAAAAGAGAGAGAGATACGGCCATTTGAGTCTTACATTTTAGCAAAGAAAGTAGAGAATTTAGTGAGAACCAGTCTTACAGCAAAAGCATGACAAGAAAAGGGTTATTGTTATTAAAAATGATTTTGCTATTACCAAGTTATAATTCAATGCGATGAATTAAAAAATATTTTAAAACTGTAACTATCGGTTTCCGAGATTTATTTCAAATAGGTAAGTTTGTACAGAGCCTTCGATGACTCAATAAAATTGGCACTGACACAGTTTACCACAATTGCACGACACAGCTTAGCTAGCAGTTTATTAAATCGTGTTTCATTCTGGAAACACCAAAATACAAAGTTTGGTCTAAATTATTAGAACGTTTCGAAATTACTACAAAATGTACGTATACAATAATTAAAGATTAGAAAATAGTAACTCTTAATGTGTAACTTGACGTGGACCTAAACACTAAAATTGGTACATGTTGATTCATTCGTGTTTAAAGTAGTGGTGGAGGTGTGGCTCCGATATTGAAACGATAGGCAGGGTGTTTCTTGAGTGCGAGTATTGCGGGCTCACAGATACATCCCGCATCCGGGTGCAATGAATGCGACGACGGTTTCAAGGGCGCGCCTCAGGTGATGACGTACGCGCACCCACCACCCCCAACACAGCTCCCACGGGTGTTCCGGCACCCACCTAATAATGCACGTCTACGCCCTGTCTACCGCGTCCGCACTCGTTGCAACCTTGAGTGCTCTCGGGGGCACCCCCATTCGCACCTTGAGGGTGACTTTAAAAAAAAACTCGACGAGCACGAAACAGTCCAAAACTCGTAAAAAGTTCTAATAATTCTAACACAATATCAATCACGATGACGTGGGCAGTAAAAGTTTTGTTTAGAATTACGTAATTTGAAGTGTTTATGTATTGTAATTAACTGATATGAGAGATCTATCGGTCACGCATTCGGGCTTGTTGTTAGTTACTCTCTACAATTAGAATTCGTAGTTAATATCATGCTGATAGCTCTCTAATTATCATAATAATAGTGGAGGCATACGACGGGGTGGCGCCCGTCAGCTGAGCGAAAACGAAAGTAAACAGAACTCGGTCAAAGGGTTTGTACTCACCTACCCGCAATATTTATGTGGGTACAGGGGGATGTACCCCACACCCGATCCAGTCACCCTCCTTTGATGGATTGGTTGGCGACTGGCGCGAATGTTCGCCTGAAACTCAGCCAAACTCAGTTGTGAGGTATTAGTCTCGATTTCTTGTTATGCTCTGTTCGACAAACTTTTACCGCGAAATTATTATTCAGTGAAAGTTCAAACAATTCTTTGTATTTTGTTTTGGACGCAGGCGTTCCACCCTCGCTGCCTTTGTAACTTACCTTATTTAACATCTTTGAAAGCTATTAAAATAATAATTGTGGCAGAGCTTGCATCATACTTTTCTCCAAGTTTCGCATTAGTTAATAACTGTCACAGGCAGGCTGTAATTGTAGTGTCACTGTGTCAGAAATCGTCTCGTCCCGTTGATAGTAATGGGTATGACAATAGCCTGTTGTACATTGTCAGGTATTAAATAGGTTTCGGCTTTACCAACAAATGAGCGTAGCTATCCAATTACGCAGCAGCGAGCGTCCCTATAGTCGGAGCCCATTACGCAAGAGCGACGTTAAGCTGCTTACAGCATTGGTCTTTTCAATCAAATTTCTATGCCTTGTCACTGTCTGGCTTGAAGTACCTGTCACTCGTTGAAATCTATTTACTCGAAAGTCAGCACTTATCATATTTCAGCAGATTGATTCGACTTCTTTGCCCCCCCCCCCCCTGATTTGGTAAAACCAATCGAGCTTTAATTTTTGAGCCACAAAATTTAATAATTAAGTGAAAACCACAATTTGCTCAAATTAAAAAAGAAATGAGTTCACAAAAGCATTACTCTTTACAAAATATTTTTAATAACAACAAAAAAAAAACAAATAATCAAAATACGAACGTATGTATAACCGTATTATTGGTACGTTATACGGTTCAAATTCTCTCGATTTGTCACTCAACAATTTGGCATAAATCTTACCTCCACAAGCACTCGCGCAGTAGGTACTGAGTACAGTGAGTGCTAACGACCAACAACCCAATATTTATGGAGTTTGGAATGATTACGAATTTAATATTTATAAGTAGAGCTTTGCTCGGTATTGTTTTTTTTGATAAATTTTCTAAAAATGAAACCTAGCTAGATCGATTAATCGCCCCCGAAACCCCCAGCATACTAAATTTCATGAAAATCGTTGGAGCCGTTTCCGAGATTCAGATTACATATATATAAATATAATATACAAGAATTGCTCGTTTAAAGGTATTAGATACATAAAAATGAGAAGGATAAAGATATTGAAATGTCACACAAAAATCGAATGTAAAATTCACTGTTGAAATGAAGCCTATTTGCTTCTTAAAATACACGTATTACTGAAAAATCTGAGGAGTTGAAACGCACCTAATTTCGCTTTGGGCAAAATACTTCGTTATCAAAAACAATAAATACGTAATAGGAGACCATGAACTGATGACGTCACTCTTATTATTCAATTATCGCCAGCTGTTAGGGAGAAATATAAAAAGTGAATGACTTCGCTTGACCTGGATTAGTAAATATCAGGCCATACTTATCTGCAACCTTGAAACGTGACGCGGAAACTGGCTGCCGAGTGAAAGCAATTGTGCGACTGTCTGGTGCAATGAATGTCTGCATTGTCGGCAAGATCTTTGTCTAGGACAAACTAAAACTATTGCTAGTTATTATTCGAAACTTTTGAACTATCTTTAGTAACACTGTGCAAATGAAGGATTTTCTTTTCTACATTTCGTTGTACACATATCACTCACGAGCTGCCGGTCCTATTCCTCCACCCGGTTTTGCACTATCTCATGCAAGCTGTATACAGATAACACTTAATTTTGTAGTCGGTTAGGTCTAGTAATATTACACATCTATTTTGCTTGTTTTCACAACTGTAAGAAATGTTCCTTTCTCAAGTTAACAAATGAACCTGTTACACGACATCAAAATCATTATTTATAACTATCAAAACATTTAAACTTCTTAACGATATTTATTCATCGTATCAAATACTGTTTTACAAAATGATGAATTAATGGCAGAACATGTGCATCAAAGCCGTCGGCACAACTAAGTACAATCGTAGAACAATACCGCCTGTACGGCCAATCACGTTACGTCATCCGATAGTAGTGGAGCGCTTTCGTGCAGGTTTATTATACATTCAGATTTACATAGGCTGGTAGGCTTAGATTCGTTTGCGGTGCACTCGTTTGCAAGTAAACGGGTGTGCATAATAGATGCGCGGTCAAGGCCACCGGTGGTCGATGACCCTGCTCTTGCACGTGCCCGATTGCTTTATAACAACGATGTTAAATGCTCGTGTTTGAACATAATTTGTAGTAATTTTAGCATACATACTTGAATAGCTGATAGGGACGTTTTACAGAAACCGTTTTATTATAATGTCTAGTGTTGGTAGTGTATTCCAAAAGGATTTGCCACAATTTCCTACTCATTCTATATAATGGTTAGATGTTGATTTTGAACTTTTTTTTAAATTCTAACATTTGTAAATGAAACATCAGCGAAAACCGATTTTTGGTTCTTGAAATAGTATTATAAGTATCGAACGGTCTTTAATACTTGTACGACTTGACTAGTCTGTACTATTTATCAAAGTAGGCAATTTATCTTCAAGTTACAGTTAACTTGAAGATAAATTATGTGTTCTGTGCGTATCCTATAAAATATTATAGTTCAATATGTCTAGATTATAGCAAAGTTTAAATCGATCTGAGTGAAATTCTAAAAGTGGTTTTTAGTCCAGCAATTAGAACCTCGTTTCCCATAACCCCACAAAAATCCTTTCGGCCTTGACATGATAACCTATGACAGAATGTCGAACTGTGACAGTAGCTGCAATAATGTTTAAAAACTGAGATCCTGAAGGATTGAAATTTACTAAAGAAGAAATATCATGAGAAATAAGATAATATTTAAATTGCATTCATTTAACTTTTCCAATATTTTATGAATCTTACAATATTAGTTTAGGAACTATACAAATATATTAGAAGTTCGTGAGTGTATAACAAAAAGGTAGGTAATTAGAGTGAACGTGCTCGCTATTCTGAGTCACGGCCAAGGACACGGGGCTTTGTCGGCTGTGATTAATTGAGTGTTCTCATTTCAATTGGTACTCGATTTATTATTACAACACCAGTTAAATTTTACATTTATGTGTCATTGAGAGATATAATGTCAGAACTTAAATGCTATTCACGATTTATTATTCGCTGTTGAATAATCTCCGAAGTCGAGAATGCTTCTGAGTAAGGTGTAATTGTATTTTTTTCTTTATTGCCCATTTAGCAAAATTACACATTATAGGTTAAGTAATTTATCACATTAGCTTCAATTAAACGCTTGCCACACACAGATCTACATCACCTAGTCCGACTGAACTATAGCAATAAGTTAATCTTATGCAATGTATTTGCAGAAACTATAAATAAATAAATATAATATTATTAATTATGTCGTTTCCTTTCCCAGGGTTATGAGCGAGGCGGTTCACCTCAGCCTCCGACTCAACCGCCGGGTGCGCCGAGCCCTGGTGCTGCTCAAAGCGCACCCGGCGCCATGTCACCTACGCAAGACTCCCAGCATCCTCCACATATGCCGCCACATGGAGTTCAACCTCCGCCACATCAGGTATTAAAACAATTATTATTACGATGCCTATTGCTACATAAACCCAAGTTTTCTACTGCCTTCTTCTACTTCAACTATTTCTTCATGTTTTGATCGGAACAATGAAGTATCGCATGTTACTCATACAAAGGCTCATACAAATTAACGATATGGGATAATTTGTCGTAACACACAGCATCACATTATGTTTAGAGTTGCGTAAAAGTCAGAATAAAGAATAATCACTAACATCTTTTATTTATTTATTTCAAACTTTATGCACTTTTTTTACATCGGCGGACTTCTTTCTTTTACACGGACGAATCTTTTACACACAACTGAGCAGCTTGGCCACTATATACTTAAGATAATTGTCCTGCTTACACTCTTTAAATAAATTTAAATATACATATATATATATATGTAAGTAGATTAGAAACTTACCAACACAGAACAACAACAATTTCTTAATAACTAGTTAACATTCAAATGATTTTATTCTCACATTTAATTTTCATAACCTGTTCCTAAATTGTAGTATTTTTCACCCCTCTTATACCATTAGGCACTTGTGATACTCATGAGAAACATGTTTAGCGGCGTGGGTGGTCATAAGCGAGAAGCACGTTGATTTTCACCCCATGCTATTTCATGTAATGGGTATTACTATAATCGGTACTTACGGGATAGCGAGCATAGTTAAAAAAAACGTAGAAAGTATTTTTGCCTCATAGAGTGATAGTTCAGTAAACTTGATAAAATTAATTTCTTTATACCTCTTATAACAAACAAATAAAGATTCAGTAAGTTGCCCGCGCGATGGATTGTAATGTAATGTATACATTACATCCTCGGTCGTCCGTAGTCCTCGGATTGTAATGTCATCCGAGGACAAGATTGATTTGTTTTATAAAGTTCTCATTAATTGGTAGGCATGTGTGAGGCGCATGTCATGTTTGGTCTTGCTTTTCAACCCTTTTACACTGTTTTTCGAATCCCAGTAAAAGTAAATCTCCATATATATAATAATATAGCAATATTTATATCGCCTGAAAACGATTGTAATATGAAAAGTCTGAGTCTGGCTCTAGTGTTTCTGAAAACTGATAAAATGCTGATATACAACAGATTCTCAAATGATCATCACATAAATAGGTCAACTACAACCACCGAATAGATAAGAATTTACTTACATTTGTAGTATTCGTAGTTGTTGAAGAAATAACTAAAGAAATTCAGTGCTTTCTCCTACCAGCATGATGATGTCTATTCTTGGAACATATTGTGTTGCGTCTAAATTATTTCTGTATAAATAACCATTAAGTTTCGTAAATCGTACGTCGTAACAAGATTACGTATTGTAATTTGTGAGTGTATCTAACAAAACATGATATGAGTTATTCAATGAGTCTAATATTGGTTTATCTAAGATATTCACTATTTGGACTTCCGGAACTCATCAGAACTTATTGTTATATCGAGAGCATACTTGTTTGCACGTCTCCCAGCTCTATAAATATATTCGTAAAAGCGTTTTCGTATTGCTCTTATGGATTCATTAGGATTGTATTTGAGACAGGTCTCTGTATAGTGTCCAGTGACAACCGCAATCGTACATTGCACAATCATACGCCTTTTAAACCATCAAACACCGATATTTTAAGTCAACAAGATAAACACCAATAAGATAACCGCTCCGCATCACGATTATATTACAATAAAAAATGACATCTCCTGGGCAAATGAAAGTGAGTGGAATCTATTTATCAATTGAAAACACCAGTCACGACATGGTTCGTCAAATCTCTGAGTTCATTCGTTTTAATAGTCAGGAGACTAGAAACCCTTATAGCTTCGTCATGTCCACCTGTCTGTCCGTCCGTCTGTGGCTCATGTAGCTTAAATATACTCGTAGCTATCACGCTAACAATATAAAATCTTTTGAAAACGATTTTAAGGGTACCTTCCTCCCTCCCTACACATAAGACTAGGAGGACTTTTCCTCGTCTATCTATCTTTTTTATATAGGTTTAAATTAGGTTTGGCTTACAGATCTGATCACACGATACATATGTGCGTCATTTTAAGATTAAGTCATTAAATAAACGAAATCAAACCGAAACAACACGATACTCTTAAGATGAGCAAAAGTACTAGTACATTGTTGGTTCTTTTCGCCAGGACTTCAATCTCTTTGAATTGTTATATTATTGCGGCAATTACAACTCTACGCGAAGTCATCCAAACGTATCCTTATAATCTTGAGTACCAGCTGCGGCCAAGAAAATTATTTTTAATGCGTAAGCGGTGTAACAGACAAACAGTTTTAAATACATACAAATACAAAAAGTTTAGAAACTAACATATTTAGATCATCTTAAAGGACACGAACGGGAATTGATTGGCAAAATCTACATTCACATCATCATCATCATCATCATCATCATCCTTTAATAATCCACAGCTGGACATAGGCCTCTCCTTAGAAAATAGAGTTTGGCCTACTATACCACGCTGGTCAGACGGTCGATATGGAGTTTAGCTCAAGTTTTCCTGCTGTTTGCAGTGCTGTTGTCCAGCGTTCTTAGTCGGCTCTTACGACACCCACGGGATATATAGGGGTGGTGATACTCAGTATTCTTAATCCGTCAACACAGGGATAAATCAGACCACAGACACACTCTAATCTACACTAACCCGTACGAATGGCTAGTTATGTTTAGTACCACTTACAGCATGTTTGACAGTACCAAATTACACAATAATAGTTATATTGAAACTAATATATATTCATCCATAGTGTAGTTATAAATATGTATAAGTTAATTCTATGCTCTGTCTAGTGTCTGGCCTTTATTAGGTTGTTAGTGTTTCACTGTGATGACTTTGCTATTAGTGTAAAGTCTTGTCAAGTACTTTGTAAGTCTTCTTGTTCTCGTCAGCCTTATTATTTATAAGTATATTGGGGTAGGCTTTTGGTTTAATCCCATTTTCTGAATTATACGTTTTCAGTTATAATGACCTCTTAAAATTAACAATATAAAATGTAAAAGGAATTAAGATTCTTTCTATTGCATTACATTACATACAAAAAACAACATTAGCTATATTTCTGAACTGTATATTATTATTTAAAATATAGCTAAAAGTGAAACAGTAGTAATAAACTGTACGCAAAATTATTTATAAAAGTTTAGACTAAGATCAGTTGATTATAAAACTTAACGATAATAATTTTAAATTATTTATCGACATTTAACGTGATTTATGACAACCAATATCGTCGACAGTTCCCTGTTAAACAAGATTTTAGGTACTAACTTCTAGAAGTGTCTAACGAATGGATGAGTATGTGATCAAAGTATGTAACTTTATAAGAGGACAAGTTATATCTGTCTATATTATTATTCGAGATACAAAATTCGTCGTTCTAGAATAGTAACAAAACTTTAACGCATATTAATAATGCAGAGCAAAGGAGAACGGCAGATACTGTACCCCTAGTAATATATGATGGATGGTTATGAGATTTGTACCGTTTATAAAGTGAGTCATCCTAACTATTTTCATGTAATTATCATATTTTTAGAACTGTGCTAAAAGTAAATAAATTCTTCTCAAGGAATTGTTACAACTGCAATAACTAACGTTCAAATGTTGTTAACAAAACGCATTCCTACGTTTTCTAAACTTGCCATGCATAAAATAAAAGTTACATAAAAAACAATATATTTACATTGAGATTAATAAATGATCTCACTAGTGTATTAAGCAGTTAAAACAAACATTTCTTTATTAATAATGTTGACTGTACGGATTAGACGAAGTAATAAACGAATGATTATTTTAAATCGATTAAATTAAGGAAAGCTACTTAGAACTTTTATTTAAATCGATTACATTAACATTATGTAAAAAAAAACTGATTTGACAAAACAACATTTTATTAACGGACTAGCTGTTGCCCGCGACTTCGTCCGCGTCAATTTGTTTTGTTTGACTGCACGGATGGCGTAGTGGTTTAAGCGGTCGCCACGCCGCTTCCTACTACGCCGAGTGTTGTGGGTTCAAACCCCACATGGGACGACACTTTGTGTGATCCACAAATTGTTGTTCTGAGTCTGGGTGTTCTTTGTGTCCGTTTCATGTATGTTTGTAAAGTCCCCCGCGACACAGGATTTATTCCTAATGCGGGAGTTGTCTTTTTAAAAAAAAAAAAAAATTAAATCTGCTTTTATGATCGCGATTAAGAAGTTTTTAAAAGAATATATTTTAAAGTACTTCTGCGTAAATGACATTTTTAGTTTTATTTTCTTGTGGCAGAAGAACATACTGATTTTCTCCGCAACCCGATCTTGAAACGCTACATATAGTTGGCCGTGTGAAAAGCAGTCTTGACGTAAATCGATTCCTACGTGTTTAAATGTTTGCCCCTGTGATTTATTAATTGTTACGGCAAAAGATAACTTAACGGGAAATTGAATCCTTTTAAAATTAAAAGGTAAATCATTTGGAATCATTGGGATGCGAGGTATAAGAACTGTTTGACCTACTGCTGGACCAGTCAAAACTATTGCAACGATCACATTGTTGCGAAGAAATTTGACTTGAAGTCGGGTCCCGTTACATAAATTTGGTGGTTTAAGATTTCTAAGTAAAATTATTGGGGCACCTATTTTTAACTTGAGTGAATGTGGGGGAAGGCCACTCGGGTTTAAAGAATTAAGAAACTCCTGTGGGTAATGGACCGCATCTTCTTGATCCATTACATTATCAATAGATGTGTAGGTAACTTCATCTCCTGGAAGTTTAGTTAAAATTAGCTCGTTAATTTCGTCAACGCTACTGTTTCTCGCCGCCAATATTGCCCTTTGACACATCCATGGATAATCTTTGTTTTCTATTTCGACGATATCAGGGTAAACTTTCGATATTAAATCCTCAATGCTAGTCACTCTTTCTCCTAAATCGCGATCAATTTCAATTTTATTTTCAAAATGAGGTACTTTCCCGTCTCCTATTAAAAGTAGCTTTGAAGGAAAATTTGTACTACCTCCCCCCAAATGTGCTCTCATATTCGTAGATAGTTTTAAGGTATGAACAAACTTCCATAATGGGGAACTTTTAAGGCAAGACTTTACAATGTCTGCTCTAGTTCCCCTTACTATTACCGGTAAAGTTTGACGAAAATCCCCAGCAAACATAACAGTAATCCCACCCATGATTTTATCACAGCTTCTAATATCTCTAAGAGTCCTATCTAGAGCCTCTACATGAGCTCTATGGATCATGGTACATTCGTCCCAGATTATTAAAGTGACGTCTTGCAAAACTTTTCCCAAAGGGCCATTTTTGCGAATAGAGCACACGCTATCTTTCTGTAAAGAAACAGTTAGAGGCAGTTTAAAAGTGGAATGAGCTGTGCGTCCACCTGCTAATAAAGTTGCAGCGATCCCTGACGACGCTACTGCTAAAGCTAGTTTTCCCTGAGACCTTACTTTTGCTAATATCAGATTAGTAATGAAAGTCTTGCCAGTTCCACCTGAAGCATCCAAAAAAAAAATTTTTCCTTCATTAAAAAGAACACTGTGCATAACACGATTGTACGCCGTCACCTGGGTATTAACTAATTTTGGTTCATTTTCAGTAATATACTCATTTAATTCATTTACATCATACGGCTTTCGCAACGCTACTTCTAACGGATCCAAATTATTATGTGAATTATTCCTTTTTGATGCAGGAAGCCCAAAATCAGTTAATGATTTATCGCAAATCTCATGAATCTTATCTTCAATTATGATAAGTCCATCATTGTATATATCATCACTATATGCTAATGTCATATCCTGATTCTCATTACGCATTCTGTTTAATATATCTTCACATAAATCATTTCGAAATTTATTCCATAACTCTAAGGGGTCAGATGGCTGGCAAAATATGAGAATGATGGTAAATAATTCTCTTAATTTTGTGGCTGGCTCAGACATGACAGCATCTGACATGGTATTTTGCCAATGTTCATCTCCCTCCAGTAAACCTAATTCCTTGCAAGCGCCTTGATAACTTTGGAAAATAACACCATTAACGGTCCTTAGATGTTCAAACGACATTGGACCGCGAACATGTTGCAGTATCATTCTTAAATAATAACATTCAGTTTGTGTTGGATGAATGTTGTAGACACGGCCTAAAGTTGTGTCTTTTTTTACACCGGGATATCCATCAACATCTTGCCCACGTCTTCTTCTAGAAAAAGAATTTCTTCCCCATACGTAATACTGGGGTACTTCGTGATATAAAAGGGTTTTTGCAAAATTGTCTCTTTTGCAAAGATCAAAGAACGCTGTAAGTGTCGTTGGTGAAGGATTGTTGACGCGATCTTGGAGATTTTCATTATTATAAAAATAAACTCTTTGTCCATTTTCCAAATGAATTGCTAAATGAACTACTGCCGGCAAACGTTCATGAATAGGAAATTGGAAAAATCTCCAGAGCGCTTCCGAGGAACTTATATAGCGACCATTTAGATATTTTTCTACTTCATTATTATTATTTTGCAACGAAAATGTGGCTTGATCAGAACCTTTATGAATATACTTACAGATGTACTTAATAGCTTTGACCGATTGACAAAACTCTACGTTAATGTGTGCATTGAAACTTCGTGATAGCACTGGATTATAGGGAACAACCCACCTGTTATCCACGCTCATTTCTGTACCTTTGACACGAATTGTTGCTGTTTTTCCACCATTATCTAGAGACCTGCGCCTGTAGGTTGGGTAACCGTCATCCCCAGTTTGTGTTTCAGAAATAAAATGCCTAGGGTACTTTTTAGAACAAATGTTTTCTTTCATACATGGTGACGCAGGATTGTGAAATCCGCAAGGACCATGTATCATATTTTTTATGACAATATTATGAAGAATTGGATCTTGTTGTTGGTCAGGTATTTCAGCCGATATTATTGCATCTATAGAATCTGGTTGTACTTTGTTAGCCAGCCACAATAAAATGTGGGCGTGAGGTAAACCTCTTTTTTGCCATTCTACGCTGTAAACGAAGGCTTTCGATGGTCCAAAGATATTTTTCTTCGTTAATAGGTCTATCATTTTCTTGAGTTTTAAATGAAATACTCTAGAAACCAAATCATGTCTGTCGTAAGAATTTTGATCGGGTAATAACTCAATTTTTATTTCTGGCCATTCGGAGTTACATGTGAATGTAATAAAGAGATCTGGTCTTCCAAACTTCCTGACGTATGTCATGGCATCTTGACTTTTTTCATTCATGTATCTGGGGGATCCTGTAAATGACGACGGCAATATAACGTGCTGGCCAATATTAGAACCGTCTATATTGCCATCATTAACCACGGCATCTCTTAAATGAATGTACTCTTCTGCTCTCAATTTTTTTTGATTTCTTTTGATGAAGTCAAGCCTCTCAGAAATCATTTTTGCCGCCATATCATCACAATATTGGTTGAATAATCCTTTGAAATAATGTATGCTGTTAAAGTCATTTATTCTCACCATGAATCTAAATGCATAAAACTGCATACATGATACAGTTTTAGATCTAGCAGCAGTATTCTGTTGTGGAATATTTATACAGTATCCGTCATTTCCAAAGGGAAACAGTAAAGGATATTGAAGTGGGTCATAAGATCTATGAATTTCAGAAACTCGTTGAAGTCTACCATCTCTCGCATTCAACACAATATCTCGGGGACCTTTGTCTTCATCTATCAAAAGAACAGCTACTTCATCTACTATTGGCGCATTATACCGACCTCGATGCTCGTTAGGAGGTTTCACATCAGCATGAATAATAAGTTTAAAATCATTCGTTGGTCTATTTTCGAGATTGTATTTAAAACTTTGAATATACATATTATGATCGTTAAGATATGTTTGGAGAGCGTCGATAAGGTAGATTTGCAAGGTTGGATTTAAATTTGAGCGCAAGGATACCTGATCTGCATGAGAAACAAAATATATTTGCAAAAATTCGGGTTGTGCACCTTCAGCTGGAAGTAAATTACCGATCAAATGATAAACTTGCCCCTGGACTTTAAAAGTCGGCATGAAGTTTCCCTCACGAATTTCTTTGGCACCAAATGAAGTCATCTGAAAAAGTGTATTATATTGTCTTGAGTGATTTAAGAAATGCTTTGAAGATGGATGTGAGCCTGATATCAGTTCTTTAAAAACTGATGTTGGTGCCGGAATTTTAGGTATATTTACTTTGCCACCACTACAACATATTCCAGGAGCTTCAGCCGCCCATTTTATTGCTTGGCATAAGTTGCATATTTTATCCATTCTGCCAATATCAATATCATTTAGCTCAGCATAGTCAAAGGTACAATCATAAGCAAACGCAGAATTCAATAAACTATGTTGCCTGCGAGTTCTATTCCTTGCTGATCGTGCATTTTGCTGTGCTAATCGATGGGAACGTTCAGCCCTTGATTCCCGTTCGCGGTTTGCCAAAGTTCGAGAATTCTGTGAGGCCAAACGTTGAGAACGTTCAGCGCTTGATTCCCGTTGTCGGTTCGCCAAAGTTCGAGAATTCTGTGAGGCCAAACGTTGAGATCGTTCAGCGCTTGATTCCCGTTGTCGGTTCGCCAAAGTTCGAGAATTCTGTGAGGCCAAACGTTGAGAATGTACAGCGCTTGATTCCCGTTGTCGGTTCGCCAAAGTTCGAGAATTCTGTGAGGCCAAACGTTGAGATCGTTCAGCGCTTGATTCCCGTTGTCGGTTCGCCAAAGTTCGAGAATTCTGTGAGGCCAAACGTTGAGAATGTACAGCGCTTGATTCCCGTTGTCGGTTCGCCAAAGTTCGAGAATTCTGTGAGGCCAAACGTTGAGATCGTTCAGCGCTTGATTCCCGTTGTCAGTTCGCCAAAGTTCGAGAGTTCTGTGAGGCCAAACGTTGAGAACGTTCAGCACTTGATTCCCGTTGTCGGTTCGCCGAAGTTCGGAAATTTTGTGAGGCTAATCGCTGCGAACGTTCAACGCTCGATTGCCTAGTAAGGTTTTGTTCACTGATCACTCGTTGAGTAGCCAACCTATGCATATTTTCATCCGCTGTTTCATTGCTGCGCAAAAGTCGCAGCCGCTTTGCAGTAGCAGTCTGCCGAGAAAGCTGAGTTCTTTTTCCAGGCATTATAGTAACGAAAAAGATAAAAGAAAAAACGTAGGCAATTAAAACTTAACTAAACCGTATCTCGTAATCAAGAAAAACAAACATAAGGTGAATAAATATGTACTTAATAATTTATACCTGCTTCTGGTACGTAAATCGGATAAAATATATGTCAAAGGGATTACCGTAAAATGATGTCAGAAAACGCAAAAAAAAACTATTTAGATAGATGAATAATGTGCATTAATTATTTCGATTTCTAAACATAATAAGGTAAACTAACCGTATGCTTTAGTAAACAAAAACCTAACCTAATAAGAGTAATTATGTAGATGACACCTACTTATATGATCTACATCCAAAAAAAAAAATGTTAATTATTGTAAAAATATTATAAACAAAATAGGTACTATCCCTAAAACAAACAATATATAGAAAACTACTACAAAATGAAAGTGTATTGAAAAAGTATTAGGTATTACACGATTAGATATAGCCGAAACAACAATAGATAACTACTACAAAATAAAAGTGTATTACGAAAGTATTATTACACGATGATATATCGCAAAAACAAATTGAAAAATCAGTACGCTGATGTGTAATGGAAAAAATGAAATATTATAAAGGTAATTTAATTATTTCGATATTTAAACATAATAAGGTAAACCAACCCTATGCTTTAGTAAACAAAAACCTAACCTAATAAGAATAATTATGTAGATGAAACCTACTTATATTATCTACATCAAAACAAAAAAAGTGCTAATTATTGTAAAAATATTAGAAACAAAATACTATCCTTAAAACAAACAATACTATATAGAAAACTACTATAAAATGAAAGTGTATTGAAAAAGTATTAGGTATTACACGATTAGATATAGCCGAAACAACAATAGATAACTACTACAAAATAAAAGTGTATTACGAAAGTATTATTACACGATGATATATCGCAAAAACAAATTGAAAAATCAGTACGCTAAATTCAACCGTTCCGTAGGGAGCCGACCACGCGTCTGAGCCGCGCGGCATGGTACCTCGTAGAACTACATGCGAGGGTGGTGGCGGCGGCGGCGGCGGGCGGCCACCAAGCACCGCCTCCCCCTCGCCCGCCGGCCAGCGCAACTTGTGTTGTGTGAATTTTGTTGAGGAGTTATTTTAAAATTGTATTATCTTCTAAGATGTTAATTGAAATTAAGTGATGTCAAGGACAATTTTGTTCACAATTAAATACTCTTAATCAACACCACATTTATTTGGATAAGGATTAATATTATGTTGATAAAACTCTTTGGCAAATAATAGGCAATAATGCATTAATTTCGACCAAATTTGATTACCATAAAAAGGTTATAGTGAGTCAATCTTAAAAGATAGACATATACTGTCACGGACATTTTTTTAGATCATTCAAAGAGGAATAATTCTTTTATACATATTTTTGGGTAACTTGAACCGTTTACGCAGCGCACGCAACGGAAGCCTTCAAATGTGAATAATTTTCCCCGTTTTTGCAACATGTTTCACTGATGCTTCGCTCCTGTTAGTTGCAGCGTGATGTTATATAGCCTAAAGCCTTCCTCGATAAATGGACTATCCAACACAAAAAGAATTTTTCAATTCGAACCAGTAGTTCCTGAGATTATCGCGTTCAAACAAACAAACAAACAAACAAACTCTTCAGCTTTATAATATTAGTATAGATTAAAAAATGCAAACAAATGATTTTGAAAGATATCCAGGTTAAGTTGTTGATAGCAATGCCAACTCATTTATGACAGCCAGCTGTCATTGGTATCGACTGCAAACTGAAAGAACTTTTGAACGCAAAGTTCTAAAAATCTGGTAATTAAAACTGTAATTCTTGATGATATATTACTAGCCAAATAAATACAACATACATGTCGGTCATTGTCCTTTAGAAAAAACTTTGATATCAAGGAAAATACAAAACTTTTTGGTACAAGTTTATGACTACAACAACAAGTATAAAATAAAACATAAAAATTACCAATTGTCTTTTAGTAATACAAGGAAATAAAATAAATTTTAAGTTAGTGACATATAGTTTTAATTTCATATATTTAAATTTAATTCAACTTGTATCAATAAATTAGGTAAAAATACTAAATCATCTTGCGTGGTGTGCTTATGTGGTCATCATAGATATTTTATATCTCAGTCATTCAAGTTTTCAAGATTTGCATAGCAAATCATAAACTTTGTAAAAAAGAAACAGCTTCACATTGTGGTTCAACGAATTTTTAATTCAGGATCTGTAGTGGTGTCTAATAAAGTTTATATTAGTTATCGTCGCTTAGAAAAAACGGAACCGTATTTCGCATCATTTCTTATCCCTGGAATTAGATATTCTCACATGTTCTCTTACATTGACGATTAAACAGCAGAATTTATCTAACATAAAAAATAAGACTTCTGTATCTATTCCTTTTTTTTATCTAAATAAATAGAATAAATGTGGAAGTGACAGGTTTATTACTCAGTTTTATCTCCAAAAAAATTGTCGTCGCTAATAGTACTATATGTAGGCGCAGAGCAAAACAAGTTTAGAATAACTGTTTCGACAAGCAACCGACAATCATTGATTGAGCCAGGCTTCATAAATCTTTATGAAGTGAAATATTTTTATGTCCGCCTACTCGAATGGAATATCCGTATTCTATTGAAGGTAATTTTTGCTGCTGCAATGTTATTTATAAAACTGAGTTACTGTTATCACATAAATAATATAAAAATATACACGTTCATACACCTAGTGTGTGGGATTGGGATCTTTTTACATATAATAAATTATTAAACTTTACAGGCAACATCTAATTTTGAGATAGTGAAATTATAGCAAGAGTAATGTTTAAACTGTATGCTTCAGTTACCGAAAGAATAATTGCCACTGGCATTAATTTATAAGCATGTCTTAGAGAATAATAACATACAAGGTAGAAATAATCTATTTATTACTTTAGTATTTGGATCGAAAAGTGGTCTTTAACAAAAAAAAATACTCTAGTATCTACAGCACTTGTATTCTGTCTCGTCAGCACTAGCATAATATATAAACGATAGCTCTATTTACATACAGATCTATAAGTACCAAGCAGTATCGACGAACGCATAGTGTCGTTAATTCTTATCTATACATAAGACGTGTGTGTAAGCGAAGAGATACTATGGGTTACACATACACATAGTATGCTTTTGATTATAAGCAAAGCCTTTAAATTGAAAAAGTATTATAAAGAAATAATCTTTCAGTTTAACACATGCCTTATATGTGTAGTGCTGATGTTGTAATTTTTATTAAAGAGCAGTATTTTTTGTTGTTATATTAAAAATGTTAAGTTGTGTTTATTAGCTGTTACAAAAAAGGTTATATTTAGGTCATCAATCCAAAACAAAGACTTAAATTATGTACCCATTGCGATGAGTCATTTGTTCTTTGAACTCATAACTATATTCATATCACATTTTTGTTAAATTTTACAAATCAAGGGTCGATATTCAAGAAGAACGACCCAGTTCCATGTAAAATTTGCGTAAAGATATGAGAAGGCTAATTCTCATAATAAAAGTTTGGTCACAATTCAGTTCCGATCAACTCTCGATCTTGCAACTGTCATAAAATATATTTTCGTAGTAAAATAGTAAAGTATTACTAAGTAATAATAGCAGATTACCGATTTATTTTTGAGTTACAATACGATGTAATAACATTACCGTCAACGTTGCATGTTTAATACTTTACTACGAAAATACCTTAGTCGATCGGAATTGAATTCTGACCGAACTTGAGTTACGAGAATTGGCCTTCTGTCCACATCATTTTAAAGTTAAGTAGTTACTTTTCAATAATGACAAATAAATTGCACGGATGGCATAGTGTGGTTTATGCGGTCGCTACGCCGCTCACTACTACGCTGAGTGTTGTGGGTTCGATCCCCACATGGGACGACACTGTGTGATCCACAAATTTTTATTCTGGGTCTGGGTGTTCTTTGTGTCCGTTTCATGTATGTTTGTAAAGTCCCCCGCGACAAAGTATATGTTCCTAGTGCGGGAGTTGTCTTTAAGACAAAAAAAAATGAATAACTCCAAAATGAGAACTGGAAGTACATATTTAGAAAAATCATAGACTTAAGTAGAGTCGAAAC